CCTACCATGGCTGCCATGTTCCTCCCCACCATCACAGGGTCCCGCATGTCCACGGTCTTCAGGTAACTCTGGGTCATCAGGAAGATGCAGCAGTCCAGAACGTTCTTCTCAAACTGGTTCAGGAAGTGGAGAAAGCCGAGAGAGCTTGGCCTGCGCCAGAAGCTTAACGCACGCTGCAACGTAGACTCCCCGCATCCAGGGGGAGCCAGCCCCCCGCAAGGAAGGCCCTACGGGGCGCAGCCACCAGCGCGGGGCGCACGGCTGGGCGCTGCGGCACAGGCCTGTAATCTTAGCCGTGACGGAGGCCGAGGCAGGAAGACTGCAAGTACAAGGCCAGCCTGAGCAACTTGGCAAGAACCTGTCTCAAAGTGAAACAGAAATGATAATGACTGGGCGTGGTGGCGCACGACTGTGACCCCAGCTCTGGGGAGGCCGAGGCAGGAGGACCGCTGTGAGGTCAGGGCCGCCTGCGTCACCCAAGGTGGTGTCGCAAAACAAAAAATAAAAACTGAAAAAAACCAAAAACAAAGAAAGCGTGGGGCTGAGCCGAGAGTGGCTGTCAGGACACCCCCGTACGGGGGTGCGGCCCCCCACGCCCAGCCTTTCCCTGCCTCCCCGGGAGGCCGGCTGTACCTGGCCATAGTTCCAAGGCTTCTCCTTGACCTGCCGGAAGGAGCCCATGTACAGGTAGCCTGTGTCGCTGAGGATGTACTCAGCCCGGTCCTCCTCGGTGGGCAGGAAGACCGCGTCATCTGGGGGCGCAGTGAGGGCACCACATGCAGCCGCGGGCGGGCAGGGCGCGCAGGGCACCGCTGCCCAAGGCCTTCACTGATCACCTTCCCCAGCCCAGTGCAAGCCCAGCGGGCCCTGGCTCTGTGCCCAGTCCCCCCACTGCACCCTGGCCTGTGTCACCTGCACACCACGGGTTGAAGAGGAGGTACATGGTGTCCTCCTCAGGCTTGAACACATGCCGCCCGCTCATCACCTCCAGGGAGTACTGGCCCACGACGGCGTTGGGGGCACTGGTGACGACGATGACCACCTGGGGGAGCACAGACGTGCAGGCACCCCTCCAGCGTGGCTCTGGGAGCCCCCGATCCCCTCCCGGCTGGCAGAGACACCCACCATTGTCCAAGTGTGCTCAGACTGGCACCGGCACTCAGGGGCAGATAGTGGTAGGAATACCAGGCTGGGCGGACTGGGGGCACCCGTAATAAGGACCCTTGCTGGGCAAGCTCACGTGCTGCCGCCAGCACTGAGGCGGGGGGTGGGGTGAGTTCAGGCCAGCCCAAACCACACAGGAAGACTCTTGTCTCAGTCAGTGTCTGAGACAAACAAACCCCTCTTCCAAAAAAAATCAGTCTTAGGCCGAGGCAGGAGGACTGCTGTGATGGTGGATCACAGGCCCCGGGGAAGACAGCAAAGCCTCCGCCTCCCTCACTGGCACAAAACAGCCGCTGGGAGCCCACACGTGCCCAGGTAGAAGCCAGCAGGGCGCCCTTCTGTGAGCGAATGCCGATGACAGCACGGAGGGGACAGCGGCTGCCCAGCCCGGCTGGCCCCAGCCTCACCTCCAAGCCGGCCTTGCTGTGGATGCTGGCCTTCCAGCCGTGGCAGCCGGCGGAGGACTGCAGGTCCAGCGAGATCAGGGTATGCCTGGACACACTAGGCCGATGTCCTGTGGACAACAAAGTGGGGAGAAGAACACGGCCTGCTCGGGTCACCTGCCCTCCCTCCTCTGCAGTCTTCCTGACTCAGCATGGACAAGTGGCTTCGCATTATCTTTGCACCTGAAGTTTGGGTCTTTGCTTTGAGGCCAGATCTCACGTGGTCGCTAAGGTACCCCCGGTGAGTTGCCTTGCAGTCCTCCTGCCTCAGCCTCTCTGAGTGCTGGGATGACACGTGTGCCACCACACCAAGCCATAGCCTGTGATTCCATGCTAGAAACTTCCAGATTCTTCCGGGGGCTGCCTCCTTCCCAGTCTCCCCTCTGCTGGGCTGAGGACTTGGATGCCCCTCGGATGGAGCCCTCGCTGCACCCATGGTGCAGAAGCCAAGCCAGGGAGGCAGAGGCACCACTGTGGATGCCCAAGGTGGAGAGGAGGCCTGAGCTCACCCATGCTGAACTGCAGGATCAGGGCATCCTGTGAGGTCCGCAGGGCCTGGCTCAGCTCCAGCCGAATGGTGAACGGCTGGCCCCGGCGCAGCACCAAGCCCGGGGTCTGAAAGTCAGCTGTGTGGTGGGCAGCGGTGTTGTCGCGCTTCATGAAGTCCACGTGGTAGATCTGCAGCTCTGGCCGAGGCAGGAGACAGAGAAAGGCGTTTTCAGCCTCCAGGGCTCACAGCCTGGTGCCGCACCTGAGGGTTTTCCCAGGGTTCCACTTCCACCAGTGATGGGCAGAGGAGCACCAACCCTGGAGTTTGGGGTCTCAGGAGCACTCAGCAGCCAGGCGCCTGGCTAGTGGCTGTGGGCACCCCTGCCCCAGAGCCCGTCCTCCCTCTGCAGCTGACACTACATGGCACAGAGGCCAGGGGTTGAGTTCTGGTCCCTCAATCCCAGGCAGGAAAGGAGGCTGCACTTCTGGACAGAGGCGATGGGCAGGGACTGTCCCCTGCCTGGGCAGCCCAGACTTGGCTGTCTGAGGGACAAGGAGACAGCAGGCCCCAGGGCTGCCCCAGTCCAACGCCGCTGATACAAAGGGGATTTTTTTCTCTGCACTACAGGGGATGGAACCCCTGGTCTTCACACTGGGCCATTTCTTATTTTGAGACGGTTTCACTAAGTAAGTTGTACTACAAAATAGCTCTTCGTCCTCCTCCTCCTCCTCTTTTTCTCCCCCTCCTCTTCCTCCTTTGGTACTGGGGAGCCAACCCAGGGATATTCTATCATCAATAGAACCCGGCCCTTTTTATTCTGAGTCACTAAATTTGGCCTCCGACTTTCGACTCTTCCTGCCTCAGCCTCCCCGGTCTCTGGGATCCCAGGTGGGCGCCCCACGCATGGCAGCTCCTGCTCCACGTAGGTGTCGAGGATACTTTCAGCGCCTGCCGCCTTCTGGCCCTGACCTCTGCCACACCTATCTCTAGCTTCCCTAGAGCCCTGAGCATCTCTGCTCCCTGTTTCCAGTCTTCCTTGGAAGCCCGGCCCGCCGCATGGCTGTCTACATAGTGCCTTAGTGCCCTCGGCACTGAGGGTGTTCCTGGAGCTGGTTGCGGGGTCCAGCATTTGTTTCTCGCAGAAGCTAAGCAGCAGCCCCGGAGGGCCTTCCAGCACCCCCTCCTCCCCTCCAGTGAACCCCGTGTTCTGCACACCTGCCGTCTTGTCCAGGCCTCCTTCCTCAGTGTCCTGGCCTCCGTGGACAGCCAAGACTGCAACAAGGTTGAGCCCTTGCAGGAAATCTGGGGCTGCGCTCTCCTGACACCCGGATGCTATCCTTGCATTTTGACCTCAGGAGCAGTGCACTAGGTCGTCGTCGCAGCCTTGCCCCTCTGCCCCAGGCCGCAGGCAGGTCAGCCACCCCCAGACACTGCGAGGCTGCAGACAGCGTCAGCCTCTTCCTTGCAGCAGGCCTCGGCCTCTTCGAGCTGTGGCTCAGGTCATTCACGCCTGAGAAAGCCTGGCCACCCTGCCGTCAGCATGGCCTCCCTACTGGTCCTGACCGGAGAGACTCACCCTGGGCTCAAGAGACCCCAGCCCAGCCCGGGCCTGGCCCTGCGGCGGTCTGCATGCAGTGAGGACTGGCTTTCTCCCAAGCCTCTCCCCTTCCCACCAGTGGGGAAGGGAAGCTCGCAGGCCGGCTTCACTCCTGCCTTCTCCCGGCAGCCACTCTACCCTGGGGCACAGTGCTTGCCACAGGGAGACGGGGAAGCCGTTGGGCCAAAGCTGCCACACGGAGCAAGACACGCAGCCTGTCCATTGACCGGTGCCCGCTACCCAGCACCGGGAGGCTGAGGTAGAAGGGCCGGAGTGTGGGCCCAGGCCGGGCAACCCGGTGACTTAGTGAGAACCTATCTCAAAATGATAAAACTTAAAGAGGGCTGGAGGTGGAGCTCAGGACCGAGGTTCCGGTTCCGGCGCTCAGCACCAATTACTAGTACCACGTTTTGGTATGGAAGCGGAACTCAGGACCCTGTGCTTGCCAGACAGGCAGTGCTGCTCAGCTATGCCCCCCAATGTTTTAAAAAGAGTTAAAAGGGCTGGGATGTAATTTCACGGTCAAACACCCTTGGGTTTGATCCCCAGTATAAAAGAAGAAGAAGGGACGTGGGAGATAGCTCAGTGCCTGGCAAGCACAAGGTCCTGGGTTCAATACCCAGTACAAAAAAAAAATAAATAAATAAAGCCGAAGCTGGAGGATTGCAGTGAGTTTGAGGCCAGCCAGGGCTACATACTAGATGCTGTCTGAAAAAAGAAAAAAAAAAAGAAAAAAAAAAGAAAGAAAACTTAAAGAAAAGGCCAAGAACAGCAGGCCCATCACATGGGGCCTTTGGGTAGGCAGCAGGCCCGCAGGGACTCCTGCCACCCTTGCTATACTGTGGAAAACCTGCAATTTTCCCTGCAGGACAACTTTAAGGCAGAGAAAGCTGTGCCTGGTCACACAGCTGCAGGACAGGGTAAGGGCAATGCCCAGGTCCCGGGTGCAGCGTGGCTGGGAGCGGCCGGCCATGCAGCGGGCACCCGCACCAGCACCCACTCACCCTCCGCCATGGTCTCTTGCATGTCGTCTGCCATGCTCAAGCCGTAGAGTGGAGTCTCCAGAGCATCTGCCGGGAGGGCCACGGGGCCCCTTTTATGTGGCCTGGCTAGGAGCAAGCCACCAGCTGCCAAAGGGCGGCATCCAGGAGCCAGAGCAGGGATGACAAACGCTGATAACTGTCCCTATCATGCCTGGATCGGGCCAAGATGAGCAGATCTGGATCTCCAGGGAAAGATGGGAGGAGCAGCTGCCCATCCTTGATGTGATCCCAGCAAGTTGTCTTCCTGAGCCAGGGCCCGGGCCTCACCATGTGGAGAGTGACAGCCCAGCACTGGCTTGCTTTTCTTCTTTTTTAGTGGTACCAGGGATCGAACTCAGGACTTTGCATTTGCCAGGCAAGCACTTATTCCACTGAGCTATCTCCCCAGCCCTCTTCTTCTCTTTCTTTAAAAAAGTGAGAGGCACTAATGATTTTTGTTTTCATCTGTTGTCTTTTTGAGATAGGGTCGCGCTATGCAGCTCAGGCTGGCCTTCAGCTCACAATAGTCCTCCTGCCTCAGCCTCCCAAGTGCTGGGGTTATACCACTGGGTCTGACCATCTGTGGTTTTTTAAAATGATGTTTTTTTTTAACTAAAAAAAAAGTGTATTTATTTGGTACAGGCTCTCGCTATCCAGCTCAGACTCCAATGATCCTCCTGTCTCAGCCTCCTCAGTGCTGGGATAATGTTTTTTTTTTTTTTTTTTTCTGGGGCTTGAACTCAGGCCCTTGCACTTGCCAGGGAAGCACTTATTCCACTGAGCCATCTCCCCGGCCCAGTGCTGGGATTATGGGTGTGCACCACCACACCTGGTTTCGGGGGCTGGCATGTTGTGTGATACCAGGATTGAACCCAGGTCCTTGCGCTTGCCAGGCAGGTGCTTAGGCTGTGGAGCTATCTCCCCGGCCCCTAAAACGATGCTTTTGAGGAAGGAAAAGTGTGGCTGGCACTGTCCACAGGGGCCCTAGAGATGAAGGAGCCAACTTTTCTCTGGGTTTCCCTCTGAGCCCTCAGAGTCTAGCGCCTTGTAAAAATTAAATTCACAGCTCAGCACTGATGGAAGCGAGGTCTGAGAGCCCTTGTGGGGAGCAGGCCCTGTGCCTCCCAGCAGCTGGGCCCAGGCAGGCTTTCCCAGGCCTGTGGCACAGAAGTGTCCCAGGGAGCAGAGCCTGGGGCATAGCCCCACGTGACCTGCAGTGGGCTACTCTAGGCCAGGCCTCTGTTTCCCCATTGTGGAATGGGCCATAAGAGGCCACAAGGCCCGGGATCCACATAGAGGCCAAGGTCCCAGTACCTTGGGTGGCATCTGCCCTGTGTCCAAGCGGGGCTGCCCAGCTGCCCTCAAGACACTGTGGTGCCCTCTGACTGCCTGCAATGGGATGGGGGGCCTCAGCAGAGTCCTTGCCCACTCTCTATGTGTGGCATCCTTGCTGTCACCGCTCTAGGGTCGCTGTGCGCTTCCAACCTGAGCCCCAGTGACCAGTGACAGGACACAGGTTGCCAGAGCTGTTAGGGACACAGGCTCCTGTCTCACTTCTCACAGGGGACATGAGTCCTGCACATGCTGTCCCAGAACCAGGCAAGGATTGAGCCTCTATAGATCCAGGGTGACAGAGCCAATGATGGAGGGCGAAGAAAGGCTGCTGGGGGTTGGGAACCACAGGGTGAAAGAGGGGGCAGGTACGTGGCCCCAAGAGACTCCTGGGCACCCACCTGGATGAGGGCAGGAGGGCACCATGTTGCCTGGCCTCACCCGCCCTCCATGGGCTTGCAGCTTTGAGCGCAAATGGCAACAGATTCAGGGGTGCATGACCAGGGCCTGGGTCCCCCACTGGGTCGCTGAGCACCTGTGGCGTGGGCACCTCTGTCTTAATGCCAGGATGTGGGGCTTGAGTGGAAAGCTGGTGACCCTGTTTTAGGGAACCCGGGTCTACACATCCCTCACTCAGCAATAATGCAGGGCAACCCAGCAGCTGTCTCTGGTGCCACTCGGCTGCCCTGGCATTTGGGCCGTAAAGATGCGCCGATATCCGCACTCACTTTCATGTACAGCCAGGAGGCGGTGCAAGGCTGCCGGGGACGGCGCCTCCCGACCTCAGGCTCTGTTTACCCCAAGTCTGGCTCCTGTCTGTGCCGTGCCGGGCTTGCATGCAAGCAAACAGCTTTATGGGACAAAGTAAAAGGCCCCATGAACCCCAGTCTCTTCTTGGGCAGGCAGGACCTGCAGCCTTGCCGGGGGACACATTGCAGTGAAGGGCCCAGGCCAGTCTGGTAAAGTGGGGAAGCCACATCCTCTGAGCCAGGCTTCCTAGGGTGTGGTGGCTCTGGAACATGTGGCTGTGGTGCTGTGGCCTGCGCAGCCTGGAGCCATTCGCCACACTCCTTAGCCAGACCCAGGTGCTGCTCAGCCAGTGAGACTGGTCAGTGTGTCCCTGCCCAAGCAGCAAGGGCGCAGGACCTTTCTGTCCACAGAGGCTAGAAGTCACCATCCCAGCTCATCAGCAGTTTCCTAACAGAACCCATGCTCTTCCAAGAGCTCCACAAAGAGCTCCTGAAATGTACGTCTTTCCTGGGGGTCGAGGCGAGGATGGGAAACAGGCAGCGCAGGGCCCCAGCTCCTCCCTGCTGGCACAAGCACAGTGACTCTCCGGCTGCTTTGGGGGAGGCAGCTGTGGCCCCTCGGGATCTAAAGTGAGGCCACACCCTGAGAGCACACTGCACACCCAGCACCAATTCCGTACTGAGTCCAGCTGCTGGCGCAGGCACGTGGCCAGGAGGGTCTCTGACAGTGGGTCTGCGGTGCAGGAAGTTCTCGCCCCACCCCAGCCCACCCTGGAAACACCCCCAGCTCTCAGCGGACCTTCAGTTACTTCCGTGTTTTGGCTCCTGTGAATGATGCTACTAGGATTTCGTTCTTTAGGATAAAACCCCAGAAGTGGAACTGTTGGTTGCTATGGTAACTGTGTTCCCCTCTCCTGGTACCAGGTGCTCCAAGTCTCACTGTGTAGCCCAGGCTGGCCTTCAACTCACAGCGATCCTCCCACCTTGGCCTCCTGAGTGCTGGGATCATAGGTGTGTGTCACCCCGCCTGGCCCTACTGACCACTGCCTGTTTATTCTGCTCTGCTGAGTAGTGGGCTTAGACCCAGGACCACACAGGTGCGAAGCGAGCACTCGGCCACTGCGCTCACCCCTACTTTTGGCACGGCAGGCCTTCCTGTGGGGATGAAGGCTTCACGTGGCCCCGATCCACACTTATGGGCATGCGTCCTGTGCTGTCGGCCACCAGCGGACAATTGTGGCAGAGGGGTCTGTCCACGCCCTTTCCTGTCACTGGTGCAGGGCTGTGAGCCCCTGGCGGTCAGCAACTCCCCCATCCCGACAGAGGCCTGCCCTGCCCCTGCAGGCTCCTTCCATGAACGAGTTCTTAATCTGAGTGAGACCCCACCTGAGACCTTCTTGTTGCTGATGTTTTTGACAAGAACTCACTGCCAAATGCAGAGTCCTGCGAGCTCCCCGTCCTGCAGCTTTCACAGTTTGAGCCTGTGGCCAGGTCTGTGGTCCACTCCAAGTTCACTGCTGGACCTCAGTCAAGCATGGGCCCAACTTCATCTTTTGTGGGTGGACAGCTTCCCCAGAACTGCTCTAAGGGGCCTGCTCCCCGCAGGCACCTACCCGGGTGGTCAAGGTCTGTGTCGGGCCGCTATTGTATCCCCCGCCCTGCGTGTCTGTCCTG